GGTATCTCTAGGACATTGACCGAATCGATAGTGGACCTGCAGCTGCATCAACGCAGGGTTGGTCTAGTACTATGGCATCCCACTGCGTTAAACGTGTTGCTCACAGCTGGCTCGGACAATCTTGTTATCATTTGGAACGTCGGCACGGGGGAGGCCCTGATGCGCCTCGACTCCCATCCAGACGTGGTCTATTCCGCGTGCTGGAACTGGGACGGATCCCAATTAGTCACCACGTGCAAAGATAAAAAGATTAGAATTCTGGATCCGAGGTCGGGCGAGATATTAGAAGAAGCTATAGCGCATGAGGGAAGCAAGGCGACTCGTGCCATCTTTCTCAGGTACGTCCTTCTTACGTTACATTTTATTCTTCAGCATTTTATCGCTTATATTTCACATCGCTATATATTTGTATATCGTATAAAAAAATCAGACTGACACAACAAGGAAGAAAGAGCAAATAGACACTATTTGGAAGACAAATTAATTTCTCAAAACTAAATTCTAATTCGCCATGAAGGACACGTAGTTTCTGAAAAAAAAAAAAATGTTTTAAATTTTCTCCAAAACTATAGGTATATATTTTCAGTTGCGTCAGCCTCATTTCACAAATGCAACATATCGCCCACACAGATTTTGCTATAATATCATTTTTTTTAATATAAATACTTATATATGTTAAATTCTTAATGTTTAAATTCTTAAATATTTAATTTGCTCCGCTTTTGGATCAAGAAACGTTTCATTCAAATGCATTATTAACATGAAAATGGCGATACATTTTTCCACGATTTCCTAACGTTTTTACACATACGTGATATAATTCAGAATGCCACATTGCCAATACTTGAATATCAAAATAACCAATTTTTATGGCTATGATTTTGTAAGGAAGAGTGCATTAAACTAACGAGTGAATTTGCATGAGAGAGTGTGGATGTAGATAAATACCAAACAAAAAGGGATGTGTGAATAATATTGTACAAAGTTTTCTTTACTTTTTATATTAGGTACTTGAATTTAATTAAAGATTGTCCATAATAGAATGTAAAACGTGTCTGTAAAATATAATCATCAAATGGTATACATCCACCTTTTTACACAAATATATATTAGTAATAATTCAATATTGATCTATGTGTTGGTAGAAATCGTTTAGAGATGATTCTTAGATATAGCCACATTGGAGCTCTTCCTTTCCACATTGTTGTCCCCTTCCCGCCTTTTCTTTTGTGTTACCATTTTCGACTAATAACTTGACGTGACTATAATATATTCGCGTCGACATATACATGGCACTTCTCGCGCTTCTTTCCGCGAGTGTTTTATAAGACAAACATGTTTGCGTACATAAAGGTACACTTGTTTTTATCATCTTGTATTTCCGGTTTGTGTAGTGCAAGATTCTGTAATTTTTAATGGAAAGACCGCCAGACTGAATTTTCGACATGACGAAGATGCCCAACTTAATATATACGAATGTCAAGATGTGTGTGCTCTGTAATTCTCCATAGATATTGCAGTAAGTATTGTGCACCAAGTTATTAATTCAAACTGTAATTGTAAATTAGAT